TTCATTGTGAGAATCCCATATTAAATTACAACCAAAGTTACCCTTGAACGGATGGAAAACACTACCATCTAAAAGTCGAGCCAAAATCTAAACGAGACATACGTGTATAGTAAAACGTTTTGTATGATAAACAATAACAAGCGTACATGCATATTGCGTAACAACACAGAGATCGGACGACTATAGTCAAGAATTCCAATCACTATAGTCTACTATTGGCAAGACATTAAACAACAAATGTTTTGCTTTAACAAAGCAGTCTTCCTTGGCAGGGATATTGTTATACACAAAGGTAGCTCTAACAATAACAACTGGACTAGTAATTCTATGAACTGACCTCCATCACTGGCCAATTGTTGTGTTCCCTATCAGGAGGAAGTAACCTAGCCATATGTCTTCCATTGATGTAGTTACCAAAGGATCATCTGTATAGAACAGCATAATATTCAATAATACAAATTTGACAAGTATCCTATAGTCTAAGTGATATGAACTTATAGAGCAGCTGATTAAAGAAGCCCCATTCGTAGAGGCTAGTGTACAATTCTTCCTTCAGCTTTTATGATTATCACAGTAAACAAATTGGTACATGCATGTACTACAACAAATTTAAAAAGCAATGTGGCATGAAACACAAAAAACAAATGCACATACATGTACGTGTAACTTCAAAATATTTCTCATAGGCATGCAGAACTCAGAAATTGTTGTTTGAACACACAATAATTACTAGAGAATTCGTCACTTGGGAAACTTTAAAAGATTACTATAAAGCGGTTACCTTGATATTTATTAGACTAATCATGTGCAAGGCAAGAAGGCTATACATCCTCTTTGAGAGAAGGGGCAAAGATAATGTAACCAACACCGATCTAACACAGTAAGGGACTAAGAAAGACATGACATCCTTTTGAAAAATGACCAAGAGAGTAATGTAAGTGGAGACACAAACAATTATTGCAGTGGTAGCCACCCAATAGAGCTGGAGCTAACAAATGTAAACTGTACACATAGGCTATGTTACATGCATTTGCATTATTTACATGTACATGTGTACATTAAATTTGCATTAAATTGACATTTACATGTACATAGCTCTGCTACTTTAAGTACATACATGTATGTACATGTAGGTTGAAAACATGGACTGATGACTATAGATAGCACCAAAGTTTGCACTATCATTAAAAACACTTACAAATGCTTAAGTGCTATGTACATGTGTGGTGAAGTAATGATTATTATTCTTATTACCACTATTACTATCATTATTATTTGCTACTATTAGCACTACCATGACTAATGAATAAATTGTATTGTTATTATTATTAATTATCTGTTCACGCATGCGCATACACAATATAGTACATGTTCTCTCTCTGGTGTTCTTCTTCTCCTTGCCTCTTTACCATTCGTTATCTTTATCAATCTAGTGCATTAGCACTTTATCTTTTATCAAAGATCATATTAATGGGAATACGTTCCCACACACTTTACATCATTTTAAGTCATACAAGATCTTGAAAGATCTTACAAGTTGCGTGATGTCACAGGAAGTAGTTGACAACCCACGATAGCCTTTACAAAAGTATGAGCATATAAAGAAAGCAAATTTTCAACAAAATTAAACTTAATTAAGCTATAATAACATCATTATTATGCATTTAAGCAATGTAAGTTCTTGCTCAGATCTTACAATTGCAGTCATTTTAATACTATGGGATATCCTTGGAATTCCAAATCCGAACTTAACTATTTCTTCAAGATCTTGACAAAATCTTACAATATCCTTCATGATATTATCTAGTTCATAACAAGTAAGAGTCTTAAAAGATCATACAAGATTTAATTCCAGATCTTGACTGATAATGTAAGATTTAGTTCCTGATCTTGACTGATAATGTAAGATTTAATTCCAAATCTTTACTGAAAATGTAAGATTTCGTTCCTGATTTTGTCTGATCATATAATATTTAGTTCCGGATCTTGGCTGATCATGTAAGATTTAGTGCCTGATCTTGACTGATAATGTAAGATTAATTGTCAGACCATGCCTGATCATGTAAGACTTATCATAAGATCTTGGCAAGATTTTGGAACTTCTTGTCTAATGATCTTGCAAGAACAGGCATGATTAAACATGCGAGATTATTTATAAGGTTTCATAAGATCTTAAGTAAGATCTTACATAAGATTTTTTTGCTGGGTAATAACACTTGTTTGAGACACAAGGAATATTTGAACATGGCTTAACTAAATATCCCAGTTTTATGTGTCAGATGAACAAGTAACAAAAACAGACTATAATAATTAACACTGTCCCATTATGAGTCATAATAATACGGTAATAATAATAATAATAATAATAATAATAATAATAATAATTACATTCTAATGACTGGATTATTTCTGCTTCTAGTAACCTTTGGGTAGGCAAAACATGCTTCTAGACACATGGAGAGAACCTATGAAACAGACAATAATTTAGTGAATGACCATGCAGAAAAATACATGTACATATACATGGCATGCATTAATTTTATAAAAATACACGCAGTACATGTAGTATCCATTTCAACTGTAATTGGCTGACCTCTCTTGTTTCATGTGGTAAGATCATTCCATCATCAACCAGATAGGATGAACGAGAGGTCAATTGCTCACCATACCTTACCAAAATGAATCATAAATTTACACAAAATATATATTTCGTTACTTTTGCTTTAATTGTTCGTAATTTTCATCACTTTTCTGCATAAAGTGTAATGAATTTTCAATAATACAAAAATAGCCTACTTCTATTTTCATTGCTTTCATGAGATGGTCCACTGAAGAGATCCCTACCCGAGCATGTGGCCAGGTAAATAAGAAATTAGGTGACATAGCTCGTCCACACTAATAAAAATCAGGCAACTATTGAATAAAAATAATTCGTATATGTACCATGGCAAAACTGCTTGGTCCGTAACTCCCACCCATTATCACAGTGAGCTTGGGAACCTACATATGTACATGGTAATTAATGAACTTACGTCAAACAAACTTAATTGCATGACAATAATAAACAAATAGACACAAACACAAGCATGCAGGATATAATATGAAATGATGTAAAGCTGGTACATCAATGATTTTATTTCCTGTTGTTTAGTTTATACACCAAAAATATATGCTTATAATCTATCAAATCTTATAATAATTGAGGATTAATTGGTTACTAAGTATTCAAAGTTTGGAGAATTACACATAATCTATTATCGTAGATACGAATGTGCATGACTGCACACAAATGCACACATACATGTATTATGATACAGCATCCCATTATTGCATTGTAATATATTGTAACAACTTACATTTACTGTACTTAATGTACTCATCATTTCTCCTCTTGCTTTGGCTGTGGTTCCTCCATTACCAGTAGGTGATAGAAACTCCTCATCAGATGGTGTGTTATTTTGTAGGAATATCATTGGTATATTCCTGATATCACACAATCTAATAAAATGAGTTCCTTTGATTGCTGCTGTTGTATCAAGTAGGCCATTATTAGCTAGTACTCCAACTAAATAACTAGAAAAATAAAAGTACAGCAACATATACATGTATATCTACATAGCAATTTCTTAAAGGTTTAAATGTACATTTGATCCTTAAAAAAGAATTGTAACACTATCAACATAAAGTAAGGAGAGGAATTAAAGTACAGGCACTACATGTACATGCAGATTGTTAATAATAAATGAGTACATATACATTATACGT